ATATATGTATGTATTTAAATGTGTAACGAATTGTCAGCTAACCAGTGAATCATTAATAGCCACTGTTTGACGCCCTTTTAATAACTTTTATGTACAAAAACTTTAGATACTGATACTACATGCTTGTCAAAGTACATGACTGTAGAGAAACGTCTGTGCTTAATTGTGTCGATGAGTTTCAACATGTTATTATTATTACAAAGCATTTGGCGTTTTTGGCGTTTGGTAACTCCTAGCTTTAGCGCGAGAAGTACAGCAATAAATTATTTAAAAAATCTGTATTTAGTAACATGTAATCTATTGATTAAATATATATATATACATATATACACACACACACACACACACACACACACACACACACACACACACACACATATATATATATATGCTATCAGGAGAAGTATCCACAAAGCATTATGCACCATTGTTAAATAAATACAATTACTTTCAGCATGGCACACCACGACACAGTACAGTTCATTTGCAGTAACGACACCAACATCCGGGCAATGTGGGAACCCAACTGTCCTGAGTGGCAACTCCGGCAGATTCACATCTCCGGGTTACCCAGGCAACTATCCGAACAACGCTTACTGTACTTGGCAGATATCCGTCAGTACTGGCTACGTCGTCGCCATCCGGTAAGATCCTATTATGGCCCATCTATCTACTAACAGGATTGTTGAGAATATTAGAAGAATGAATTTTTTTTACTCGTTTCTCTACCCTAAAATACTATACAAGACTGTCTATTCCACCTTCCTTCAGTAACGGTAAGACATATCAAAAAGCGCCTTTTGTACATGTTAAAATGCCGAGCGGTCTGTCACTACGGTATTCTTTCCCATTGCTAGGCGCGTTCTAAAAGGTATCGGGTTACAAGACGCTATTTTGGCCTATTTTGGACTACCAGTAAAACACTTGAAAATAAACAAAAAGGATTTCATGGTAAGTTTCGTCAAATTAAAATGAAATTATTGCCTTAACATCTTTTAATATTAACTATTTGTGTTAAATCATTGATTTTTCAAAATTTCGCTCAAAAAGACGATTTTTTTCGGGTTTCCGACCACAAGTCATGCCAGGTTTTTAGGCAAACATCGTTTTAACCTGGCTACCTATATCACCCCAGATCCCCAATTTTTATATTTTCTGACGATTAGGAATAATATAAAAAATCGTGTTTTAGGGATTTTTTAATTTCTGATTTGAAGTCTAGTTTTTGTCGACATATTGGTGAAAAAATGATGTTTTATTTACATTTTTCGCACTAAATTACCCATAATTCAAAATTGAGGCCATTTTAAAAAAATCCCTAAAACACGATTTTCGGGACAACCGTAATGGTCATTTTGAGCCGTGAATGGGTATGCTTGACTCGCCATGCTTGCAGGTTAAAACGAGTTTTGCGGACGTGTCATGTCGACCAAAAGTCTGCATTGTGTATTAATTATTCATTCTGGTGTAAAGAATCATTACAGTATTCAAGGTCACCCAAGGATACGACAGTAGCTTCGCTACATGTTACAGATCCACAAAAAATGATAGCGGACATGTACTGTCCAGGAAACTGTTTGTATCTATAGAAAAATGTTGTTTTTTTTTTATTTGTTGCAAGGCACGGAGGCAGAAAGGCTTGTTTTGCCGCTTTGTTGTAAATGACCGCAGGTGACCCCGAAATAGAACGCGGGTTCGATTCGAATTGCCCAGATCGAACACGATCGAACACAGTTCGGGTTCTATGACATGTGGGAACTTTGCAGCCCAGATTTTACCACCGTGCACGGCGGTCTGTCACTACGGCATTCTTTCCCATTGCTAGGCGCGTTCTAAAAGGTATCGGGTTACAACACGCTATTTTGGCCTGTTTTGGACTACACGTAAAATATTTGAAAATACACAAATAATATTTAGGGGTAAATTTCGTCAAATTAAAATGAAATTATCGTCTTAACATGCTTTAAATGTTAGCTTTTTATGTTGAATCAATGATTTTTTAAAATTTCGCTCAGAAAGACGATTATTTTCGGGTTTCCGTGCACAAGTCATGTCATGTTTTTAGGCAAACATCGTTCAAACCTGGCTACGTATATTACCCCAGATCCCCGATTTTTATATTTTTCGCAGACTAGGAATAAGACAAAAAATCGTGTTTTAGGGATTTTTTAATTTCTGATTTTAAGTCTAGTTTTTGTCGACATATTGGTGAAAAAATGGCATTATTTGACATTTTTCTCACTAAATTACCCATAATTCAAAATTGAGGCCATTTTTCAAAAATCCCTAAAACACGATTTTCGGGACAACCGTTACAGTCATTTTGAGCCGTAAATGGGGTATGTTTGACTCTCCATGTTTCCAGGTTTGAACGAGTTTTGGAGACATGTCATATCGCCAGAAAGTGTGCATTGTGTTATTCATACTGGCGTAAAGAATCATTACAGTATTCAAGGTCACTCAAGGATACGACAGTAGCTTCGCTACATGTTACATGTCCACCAGAAATTATAGCGGACATGTACTGTCCAGGAAACTGTTTGTATCTATAGAAAAGTGTTGTTTTTTATCTGTTGCAATGCACGGAGGTAGAAAGGCTTGTTTTGCCGCTTTATAGTAAATGACCGCAGGTGACCCCGAAATAGAACGCGGGTTCGATTCGAATTCCCCAGATCGAACACGATCGAACACAGTTCGGGTTCTATGACATGTGGGAACTTTTCAGCCCAGATTTTACCACCGTGAAAAATGATGAAAATTAGTTGTTCCTATCTGAATTTATAGGTTTTAAAAGAATTCACCAGAAGGTCCCCTGAAGTTCTAGCTGCTAGGGGGATGCTAGGGGGATCAAACCAACACCGCTTATTTCTGACAGGAAAAGCTATCTGTCACCAAAAAGTCAAGACCATAGCATGTTCAGGATAAAAGATAAAAAACCGGAAGTTCTGCTGCAGTATCAAGGTCAGCCACCAGGAGGCCAATATTTGACCTTGGCCTTTGTCTTTCCAAGACTTACCAACATATCAAATATCATCTCAATCCATAAAGGCGTTCTAAAGTTGTGCTGACCACAAAGTTGCGGAAACACAAACAGACGCACAGACAGATACCCCCCAAAAAGAGATTATCTTTTAATGCATGGAATATTTGTAGAAGCCAATATCAGTAGATGATTATAGCAACTTTTTGGACTAAAACAACCCATAAAATTTGGTATGTAGGCATGTAGAAAATGCAAATGGGCACTTAATTTGCATAATTAAGGAGAGAATTCTATAATTACAGTGTTTTATATATAGTACTTTTATACATGTAATCTATTTAATCTATGGCAAGTGAAACATCAACAGATACCAATAATGCAAATGATGACCTAATTTTGATATATAATGTTAAAATGTAGATGTCGTTTGCATAATTAATAAGGACAAAAACTATATTTCATGGAGGTATGAGATCTTCGAATCCTTGTCCTTATTTGTATCTATGTTTTCCATAGGTTCAGTGTGTTGTCTCTAGAGGATGAAACAAACTGTGGTTATGACTCTCTGGCTATTTATGACGGATCGAGCACAACTGCACCACGTTTGGCCAGACTATGTGGTTCATCTGCCCGAACAATCTCCACAACCGGCCGGAACGCCTTTGTGGTCTTCCGTACGGACGGGTCCGTGACAGAATCCGGATTTTCTGCCAACTTTACAGCTGAGACAGGTTTTTAACACATTTACAAACGAAAAAAATGTTGGAAACGGTAGAGCTAGCTTGTTTCTAAGTATGTAACCCTGGATATGTACTGAACGGCGCTTCCTTTACGACGGAAGCAGGCGGAACATGGAGTAATCCATGGAGTAATCATTACTCCATGTTAAAACATGCAGACGTAAGACCGACTTGTCAGATTGTAGCTAGGCTAGTTGGCAATGTCAAGCGAATTGTAGTTTGCAGACCATCAGCAGATCGATAGCGTTTGGCAATATTAGTGCTACATGGCCAGGCTGACGGAACATAAAGCAGTCCCGTTCCAACATGTAACCATAAGATTACAATTGCTAGCGAAACTAAATATAATATTGCCTATAAAAAGCGGCTAGAATGTGAGAAATGCTGTCTATTTTAATATTTAAGCTTGCAAGTTGACGTCAACTTAAAATTGACGATGTCGTTTAATATCTTTAATAGTAATAAATATCTTTAATAGTACTAGTAATAGACCCTGGTATGCATATCTGAATAGATATGTGCAAAGACAGATATCGGAACAAATTATCAGATAATAGAAATAAAAACATATGGGAGTCATAGTGCCCTTTTAATAATTCCCTGTCATAATTCCCTGAGATGCAACTCGAAAACACAGTGATTAGAAGCATCCAACCTTTTCATCGGGCTTGATAAATACGTTTCTTTTGAATGGCTCAATGGAAATGTTTTATCTAACGTAAATTTTAATTTTAGCCCATCCAACGTTCAACAGATGGCTTTACTTGACATACGCAGACAGGTTGTCGACCAGACCAATTCGAGTGTAAGGATTTGCAGTGTGTACCACCCTAGCGTGCAACATGTGTCTTTTATAGCGTGATTGTGTTTTTAATACTATCTTGATAGATTTTAGACTTGTTAAGCGGTTTAAACCATTCCACATGCAGAAGGAGAAACAAAACAAAGTTCGTTCAATCAAATTTCTATGAGTTGAGGATGAATAGCGCTGATCAGAATTTTTCTAATTATACATTTTAACTGATAGTTGTAGTTTTACATCCCTGCAGATTCTTGTCGACCTGACCAGTTCCAGTGCGACAATACACACTGTGTACCGCTCTCAGCGAAGTGTAATCGGCATGCTGACTGTCTGGATTGGAGCGACGAAATTAACTGCAGTAAGTATGTGCAACCAAGTACAAAGACTTGTTCGTGCAACGTTATGCGCGCAATCGTCGTGGGGAAATCGGTTACGGACTGTATTATGGACACTGGTACAGGTATATTGCTACTATCCCAGAAGGCCAAGTTAAAACAGCTTTCTTTTTAAACAGCAATGATACCCACGCTTTCTTGTCAACTTCAGTTAATTAAGTACCAACATTGAATTGAAATGCCATATGTGATTTAACTATTGTTTTTCTTACTTCCAAGTTGTCTGGAGTTGTCACTTTGATACAGATGATTGTAACTCCATGATAACTAACACGGGAGGTTTTCGGTGGGTTCGACGCAGAGGTACTACATCGTCATCGTCAACAGGACCGTCAGCAGACCATACAGATGGATCTGGTACGTCAACAATTATGTTCTTATCTCCGTACGTTTTTAAAACACCAATAAAGATATCATTGTTGCCCAGAATGATAAATCACTTTATAAATCAACTTTATTGGCGTTTGGAAATAATGTATGTATTCCACATTTTAAGGAACATATAGTTAAAGTTTTATCATATATCCCATACTGTGATATTTGAACCGCACAATGAAAATATGTTTTTGTCCATTGTTTGATCTGTAGGGTATTACATGTATACGGAGGCTAATTATGGTGTCCCCAATGCTACTGTCAATTTGAAATTGCCGATAATTCGTTCCAACGGTCAGCACTGTCTGCGGTGGTTCTATCACATGTACGGATCTGACATGGGGACACTGAACGTCTATGTCTCCCAACCTCAGTATTCTGATATGTTGATATGGACAAGGTCTGGAAACCAAGGAAATCGTTGGGTCCCGACGTCGGTGTATTTTTCTAGCAATGCCAGTTTATTTCAGGTAAGTAATGATACATTCTGTAGTGCAACCAAGAGACCATAGTTTCAGTCCAATAATGTTATCTTCTAACTCGTAATTAGATTGATTCTGTTCTCTTTTGAGTTGATTTCATAGCCAAATGGGATAATAATAATTATGAATGTCTTTATTTCAGGTTTTTCGCCTATAGAAAACAATGGTACAAACATAGAAACGCAAGTTATACACACAGCATGTTAAGAATCTCTGTACTGACAATCGGACCTCAGAAGACATTGTATTATGCTGTTGCTGATGTTGTTTAGCCTATCAATGTAGCATAATTTTCTGTGTCTGGCTTCAAGTGTCAGAAGTTTGGTGAACAAACCTAGTACTTACACTGCAACATCTTGGAAACTTAAGAAGTATCCGAAAACAATTATTATATGCCACCCGACATTTGGCAAGCACACTAAAATTAACACAGTTCCATAGCTGGGCGCCAAACAACTGGGAACAATGAGTTATAAACAGTCTTCTTCACAGCAAAAGAAAAAATGTATTATCTGACATTAGAATATCATTTAAATATGTTTGTAATTAATTACCTATCATCCTGAAAGTCAAATATTTTTCTTAACACGAATGTAAATTACAGATCCTGTTTGAAGGTGTAAGAGGAGCTGGCATCACCAGTGACATGGCAGTCGATGATATCTCTCTAACGCCTGGTCCTTGCAGTGAGTTTGTTTTTAATTTTTTTCTTTTGTTTACTCTTATGTCTTATTTCTTGTGTTTAAGTGATTTTAAAGAGTCTGCATGGAAATTGTCCGTTGATATACTGAGATGCTTACCCTGGATAGGATGTTCAGGTTTTTGCATGGACGAATGCAACGACTAAACACTGTGATTATAAGCATAAGCTTTGCTCCTGTCACTTTGTTATCACCATTGATGAAGAAATAACTTAAGCCAATTAAACGAACTATTAATGGCTCTACTTGACAAACCTCTGCAGCTTGTGGACCTGACCAGTTCCAGTGTAACAATTCGCAGTGTGTACCACTCTCAGCGAAGTGTGACGGCCATGCTGACTGTTTTGATTGGAGCGACGAAGCAAACTGCAGTAAGAAGTACATTCAAGTACACAGCGTGACAAGTGAATCTTTCTTTGAAAGATTTCACACATTAATGGGAGCTTCTGTACATGTATAAGATGTCTACATGATAATCTAAGGTCTTCTGATCGTGGTTATTGGGTCAACCTGGGTGGGGTCGTGTGGCGCAGTCGGTAGCGCGTTCGGCTCACACCTCAGTGGTCGCGAGTTCGAACTCTGCCCATGCCAGCGATCCTGTGCCCTTGGGAAAGGCACTTTACACGACTTTCCTCGCTTTTTCATTTCACTTCACTCAGGTGGAAATGAGTACCTAGCTTCCGTTAGGGACGTCCCTCGGAGAGGACGTTAAATGGAGGTCCCGTGTTTGGGGAGGGCCACATCCCATGCACGTTAAAGAACCCACCGCACTTATCGAAAAGAGTAGGGGACCTTCCCGGTGTGAGTGGTTCAAAACCTTACATGTACGCACATGTACAAAACTGGTGTGTTACGTTTTCTAAATGTCCGGTCTGGCTTAGATTAGTCTGTCACGTCACATTTACAGTAAAAATGTGGTAAATATACATACAATGTCTTTTTTAGCTTACGCCCTTGAAATCACATGTGACTTCGATGAGGATCCTTGTAACTCTAAGACCACTGCTGGGGGAAGTTTTCGGTGGCTTCGAGACTCGGGTAGTACCCCAGCCTTTGGATCAGGACCATCACAAGACAATACAGATGGATCTGGTATGTCAACGATGTTTAAGCTTATTTCGGTCTGCAACTTTTCTAAAGATGTTTTCTTTACATTATTTTTTGTCTTCATCTCATTAATACAAATCGTTCATTTCATTTTAGCAAACACACAGAAACACATAAAGGATGATACGTTATACATGTACATAGATTTAGCTAGTGTAAATCAGAGTATGATGCTACTTGTGATCGTGTGTCAACTTTGTTTTTCAACTTTCAGGGTTTTATATGTACACGGATTCTAGATTTGCACCTAACGGTGCTACTGCCAGTCTGACGTTACCCCTTATCGGCTCTACTGGTCAGCACTGCCTGCGGTGGTTCTATCACATGTATAGTACATATCAACGTGGAATGGGAGCACTGAACGTCTATGTCTCCCAACCTGAGTACGCTGACGTGTTGGTATGGACAAGGTCTGGAAGCCAAGGGAATCGGTGGCTATCAGCTTTCTCTCCCATTTTTCCAAATGGCACTGTATTTCAGGTAAGGAGTAACATTGTTTTACATGTAAGTTTATGTAAGTTTGTTAATGCTGTTGAACCTAGCTATAGTATATTTTTCTATTTGTTTTCAAAACTAACAAACAGCTTTAAAACTGCTCAAAATGCATCCAAATGCAGACCTTTATAGAAATTAGCATTATCGTTGCTTACTACGCATATTAGCAAATATCCTTGCTGTTAGAGTTTAGGTACAAACTATTATTGTTCCAGTTCTGTAATGGATGTTTCTGCGTAAGAAAACAAAGGTTATGAATTTATTTCATACACGAACTTACCACACTTGATTTCGTCCCACAGATTCGCTTTGAAGGCGTAAGAGGATTTAGTTACTACAGTGACATGGCGATTGATGACGTCTCTGTAACATCAGGCCCCTGCCGTAAGATTTCTTTACACTTCTTAACGCATTGCTTTTTTGGTGTATCATACCATTCACAAAGATGGGTTTTCTTAATTTGAATGCTTTTCCAATTTTAATAGGCTTTAAAAATCTTTTATTCTTTTAGACCAATATTAAAGCAGAACATGTAGGGGATTTGTCGTCAAATGATGCCCATACAGTAATGGGATATGTAATGGGAATGAGTTTTAACATAAAGTAACATCTTTCGCAGACGTATGACGGCAAAACTCCCTCTTGGTAGACAGTGTAAAACTCGCGTATCAGCTAACCTGTTTATATAAATGTACCCTCTACAGGTTGCTTATGTCTTCATATTAGATGAGTATTTTGTAGAATGTTTTGAACGTGTATTTTACATTAAGAGATACACAAAACAGATCTGGTTTTATTTCATTTGCTTGAATTGAGGTTGAAATCTGGATGAGGAATGTTTGCATAAAACCTTGTATACGTTAATGATAATTGTACTTATACATGCCTACAGCTTGTCGGCCTGACCAATTCCAGTGTAGCAATGAACAATGTGTTCCGCTGTCTGAGAAGTGTAATGGTCATGCTAACTGTCTAGATTGGAGCGACGAGACTAATTGCAGTAAGTATGTTTAAACAAGTACAAATGAACGATCGACGCATACACTCACATTGGTGTTGACATTGATATTTAGAAAGCTTTAAGAGGGGGCGGAGTCGTGGCAATAGGCTTAGATATCGTGGGTCACATTTACCTAACGAATTCATTCGTATTGATTTCGTCGGCTTATTAATCTATATTTTTGAATTAATATACTCATGCTGCGAGGCTGATTTTCTTCATAAAACTGTAAACTGATCTTTTATCAACCGCTTTTAATGAAGAATGAAACGTGTTTATAATTTAGCTCTCGTATTCCATTGAACATTACGCTGATGTAACAGTTCTACTCGGTAACCCGTAACCCAGGTGAGCGGTAATACCATTCAGGTGTTAATGCCATTTAGGTGATACTATTCAGGTGGTTAGCCAACCTTGCAGTAGCCTAAAGGCCGTGTTACGTGGCGACCACTAAGTAAAAAAAAAAAAAAACAGTACGAGCCCTTTTCTGCAAGGTATTAGTCATTATGGTCGAAATAAGCTTTTACAATTGACTATTTTTTTCAACAGCAATCGACCCTATCGTATGGGAGCCGTTCAACTTTACTTACGACAACACTTGCACCAGCTGCACCGGTGAGCGTTTTGTAAGGCAAAGCAACTACACCTACGGAGGTCAGAGTCTGTACGTCGGTGTTGTTTTGTGCTCGCCGACTCAGTACAAGATTTTGCTGAGTGACAACCTGACAGGGACGTTCCAAAATATAGGCGATGGTGCGGGACACGGTCAGGATCACTGTGAGCTTGTTGGAGCTTCATCAGATCCTCCGTCCTCGTCACTGGATCCGGATTATCGCACCTGTAGTGGAACAGGTAAGCAAAGCCACGTAACTATTAAGAGTACTGTCTTGTTGTGGTAGCTACAGTTGGTGATATACCACCATATTACCACACCACCATGGTATTACTTACGTAATATATATTCAAAACAAATGATAGCTGGTTGTTTATTACTTAAAGCTGTTATCAGTAGAGTTTAGATAATCTAACAACCGCGACGGGGACCGACAGCGTCTAACAGATACCTTTGGCCCAATGTTGACGTCACACTTCAAAGAAGCCACGTGACAAGCTTCACTGGGTCAGTCTACTGAGGAAGACCAGAGTGACTGGTCGAAAGCTCTAGGTGAATTTTTTTGTGTTGGACCAAAAGTTTTAACTTTAAACATGTAACTACCAACACAGATGAACTTTCATGATAGTAATCTAACAATCATTGATTTTGTAAAATTTCAATTACGAACATGTCATAGGTTATTGGCGCTATCGTCGTGAAGACAATTTCACCAGTGGAGCCATCGGTTATGGATCAGACAACGGCATCGCGTGGTACGGACGCTGGTACGAGTGCGGTGTTACAATCCCTGACGACAAAGGTATGGCAACGATTTTAATTGACCGTGCCGTCTTATTTGTCAAATAGGAGCTAGTAACATGCACGAGTAATGGTCCCAAAAAGCCTGATCTCATTTGATTTTTGTTTGTCTTAATTGCTCCATAGATCGAGACGAGGGTGGCTGGAGTTGTGAGTTTAATACAGATCAGTGTAACTCCATAGCAGCTAATTCAGGAGGGTCAAGAGGGTTTCGATGGATTCGCTTTGGCAATACAACGTCATCGTCAGCCGATGGGAACCATACGACACCGACTCCACACACTGTTAGTACACCATCATCATGGTCAACAGGACAGTCAGCTAACTATCCCGATAGAAAAGGTACGTCAACGGCCTTCGTTTGTATTACTATTATGATTGGAAGTATTGTGGCTTGCCACTAGTGCCCTTCTTCTTTTGATAGTTAAAGTGTCCAATATGTAAGTGCATTTCCTATTTTGGCGTTTTGCATCATTAAAATTATTCAAGTAATTTACAAACTTAATGTGTTATTTGAGTTTTAGAAGACATAGTTTTAGTATAGTTGTGTATTCATTTTCATCTTAGACTTACATGACTTAAATTTTAATTGTCTTCTGACAATATGCTTATTCCATTGTTTGATCTACAGGATCTTATATGTTTGCGGATGCTACATTTGGTTTGCCTAATGCAACTGCCAGTTTAACGTTGCCCATCATTCGTTCTGCCGGTGATCAGCACTGCTTGCGGTGGATTTACTACATGTACGGATCTGACACGGGGACTCTGAACGTCTATGTCTCCCAACCTCAGCAAGCTGACATATTAGTATGGACAAGGTCTGAAAACCAAGGAGGTACCTGGAGGCCAACTTCAGCTACTGTTTCCACCAGTTCCAGTGTATTTCAGGTGGGTGGCGATATGTACTGTACTACCATCAAGGCAACAAAATAAAACCGATGATTGAGATCACGACTAATCTAATAATTTTAATCTTTACCTTTTGTGTTTACCGTTTCACGTGGTTCAGCTTTCTTTTTTAACCCTACCTAGACCGGGGGGGGGGGGCTAAAAGTGCCCGCGGCAACTTTGATGTCACCTAGCGTCTGAACGGCTAGCCGTAGAACGGCCAAACTTGGTGACTTTTCCTAAAATATTGTTGGCAACAATTCTTAATCATTGAAATAGGATAATAATTTTTTGTGTTGCCATGGCAACGGGTTTCTGACAGGCATTTTTTTGCTAAATTTAGTACTTTTTGTTTCAACAATAGAATTTTATGGGTTTTATGTCAAGTTACTCATGGTTTCTAATATCAATAACATCCCATATAATTTTATGTAAATTTTATCATTGAATATGCATAATTTATGCTAATAAACGTCATTGGCCAAAATCCAAGATGGCGGACCATATTATTAGAACAGGTACATACAGGTTATTTTCATTAAAATTTCACCAATACTTCCATTTCTTTTTCCAAAAAAGGTTTAAATGAAGGTCTTTAGTATGTTTACAATGTATTTTAGGCTTTATGATGAAAAAAAACTATTTTTGAAAATTCAAGATTGATGATCCAAGATGGCGTATATCTTAAATATGCATGACGTCATTTTATGACATCACCGGTGTTGCTATTGGCAACATAAGACTTAGTACACCATAACATTCTGTCATAAACACTTTTGGTACAGTTATGTTGAATACCATTTAGTTTTCAGGGAAAAACCTATTTAGACGGTTTGGCCAATAAAATCACATTAATGACGTCATAATGACGTCATATTACGTCATAACGACATAAAAATTAG